TTATTACATATTTACATTAGAAGTTCATTATTTCATTCCAATCTAGGACTCTAATATACAGTAATTCTTTTTATTATTTAAGAGATCTTGCAAAGTGCTGCAGTTTGTGTGCAGTGTGTTGTAGATTGGGGAGTGAGGTAATTTCTAAAAAACATACAGCCAGCATTACTGTGCGATTTTTATTTTCTGCTTTATTTTTACTATCACTGGAAAAACAATTTTGTTTTTTGACTCCAGCAAAGTCTACTTTTGGCTGTTTTCTCATTCACAGTCAAATACAACTGTTGAATAGTATTGCATACTTAAATGATAACAGCAGCCCATTTGCCCAAGTCTAGCTCTCATGCATTTTTAGCTTACTGGCCTTTGGTTTTTGTAGGTAATTTGCAATTGTCCCGTAGCTGACATTGCTAAAGTTGTGATGGCACTTTCTAGGCTCTGTTGCAGTTCTTGGTAAGAGAACCTCCCCTCCATCCCGTGGGAAACAGATCAAAGAACAGCTTGTCTTGCACCTCTTTACAGTACTTGGTGAGATGTTAGATGCTGTTAGAACAGGTTATTCCAGGAAGCGCTTCACTAGCTTTATGTGAACACCTTAAGCTTAACTCATTCCAAGTGTGTTTGTAGGCTGTTTCAGCATGCCTTCATTTAGGTGTTCCTAGGTATATCTCCAGCTGTTTTTATTACAAAAGCTGTTCAACACTTGACAACAGTAAAATGGCCTTTATGTGTTTAGATAAGAAAATGAAAATTTGTAACAAACTAGACAAAAGCTTGGTTTTGAATGTATTCTGTTGTTTTTGGCAAGAGAAGTTACAAGGAGGAGATATGATGGAATAAATGTGCTTTCAGGTTCTAGTAGAAGATTATTCTTTAACAGTTACGAAGTCAATATAAGGCTGTGAATTAAGTGACGACGATTCTGCAGGATGAGCTATATATTTTTGAAATTAGCTACAGTTAACCTCTGTTACACCAGAAATTAACAAATGTCACACGATGCCTTTGGAGAATCAGAAACAGGCATGACTTCATCTTATTTTGAAAACAGTTGTTCACTGTAAAGCCTTGAAAGCAATTTTTTTTTTAACATTTTTCTGTTTTGAGACTATCACCTTAATTTCAGAAACAAATACTACTTCAGTTAATTCAGGTCTACACAAGTGGAGTTCTTCTTCTATACATACTCCAGTGTTTATTTAGCACCTGTAAAAATTGTGTTCATAATTGCTTATTTTCAGGCTTTTGTTTCTCATCCTTGTTGGGACACCATGCTATGTTACTCTTTTCAGTCTTTGATTTTGTGCATTAGTCATAGAAACAAAACATTATCGAAACAAGCTAATAACCTAAATTATAGCTAAAAGATTCTAGAGACGTTACATGAAAACGTGAGTAAAGCAATTTCAAGTTCTTGTTTTCTTAAAGGTAATTGCTGTTATTCAGTGTGATTTTAAATATCAGTGATTTTTTATTGCCCTATGTGATGTATTTATATTCTGTTATGAAATCCATCTGACTTCAGTCAAAATTAGAAATATTTCAACTTTTAAATCACCTAAAAGACCTTAAAGTTAAAAATACAATATTTCTAATAATGACCCATGTTATTTCCCAATCTTATTTTCAGTTACACTTAAGCTTTTCACTCAGTACGGGTGGAGAAGACAGTAACAAAGAAGAAAGAAAGAATGAATTGATACCACTTCAGTCCTTGATCTGCTGAAGAGTATAGGGGCTACCCTGACAGATGTACAAGATGTTGTCTTTAAGTAGGTTAAAAATATGATTGTAAAGATTACTTCCAAAGATTAAACCAATATTACCTATGTTAGAATTTATTTTGCTCAGCATAATAAAAGCTTTTTTTTTTCCCTTTTTTTTTTCAGGTTGGCATTCTTTGAACTGAGCTACCACTTCTGTACTACACAACAGCTCCAATCAGCAGTTGTAAGGCATTATTCAAAACAGGTTAGAATAAGTAAATTTCAGTCTTTCAGTAAATTTATATTTTGAAAACACTACTTTGCACTTTGGTTCTATGAAAATAAATAAAATTACTTTCAGCCTTCTATGTTTGTGCAAAGGTTAAATGCATAAACATATGTAAGCCTCATTATCTGGATTCTGTTGTCTTTAGTTTGGGAGCAAGTACCATCTCCAAATTATGACTAGAGGAAAAGTGGCACAGATAAGAAAACAACTTGCTGGAATAGCTAGTGGAAGCTAATGACATCAAAATATAATGCTTTTTCTTGGATGTTATTAGTATATAAATTATGATTCCTCATTGCCATTTGTATGCTGCTCAGATCCTGTCATCCAGAGGAGAAAATTCAGCAGTCAAATTACTCCTCTTCTCTCTGTCCATCATCAATATAAGGGGTTCTTTGGATGCATTGATTTAGTGCTCTGTTCATCTTTAAAGGATGACATCAAAATATAATGCTTTTTCTTGGATGTTATTAGTATATAAATTATGATTCCTCATTGCCATTTGTATGCTGCTCAGATCCTGTCATCCAGAGGAGAAAATTCAGCAGTCAAATTACTCCTCTTCTCTCTGTCCATCATCAATATAAGGGGTTCTTTGGATGCATTGATTTAGTGCTCTGTTCATCTTTAAAGGAGAAAAAAAACTATACAGGTTTTTAAGCGGGAAGAGTTATCTGTCTTTTTCTGAACTCTTCTTATCCCAGCAGAAAAATTTCAAATCTCCTCAGAGATGTTTAACCTTTTTTTAAAAATTGAATTATACTTTATATAGATGAATTATTAACATTTTGCAGTGCCAGTGACCAAATTTTTTCAGCATATGCAAACAGAGCAAATTTTGTCCTGTAGTATGAGAGAAATTCGGGTAATGTGCTTGCTTTGTGAAACCTCAACAACATCAATGTCATTTTTTTGTGACATGTTTGTAAGATGTCTTATTTTTTTTGGCTGACTTAAATTTACTCAATGTAAGATTCTTTTTATTACATCTACTACTTTTCAAATAATTTTGAGGGTTTTATGTTAAAATAATATTACATTCACTTTTTTTTGATCTGAGTATACTACACTGTTTACCTTTGGTTTAATACAATTTCTGAAATATGTTTACTAATAAACATTTTTATTTTAGGCTATTAAACAGATGTATGTTCTTATTCTTGGCCTTGATGTCTTGGGTAATCCATTTGGATTCATCAGAGGCTTGTCTGAAGGAGTAGAAGCGTTCTTCTATGAACCTTACCAGGTAAGTGTCTCTGCTGCCTTCTTAGAAATGTAGTACAAGTAGATAGATCTGACTTGTATAGAAACTGTGGATGTATTAGTAGCTTTTTTGGTTTTAAATATAGATTTACAATTGAAAACTTAAAAGTGCCAGGAAAAGTTACTGGAAAACTCAAGAGAGATGAAAAGGTCTAACTTAATTCACAAGACTTTTCCTTATGGTTCTTCTGGTTTTTTTTTCCTCTTGCTTTAAAATAAGCAGATTTCAGTGAATGAATTATTCTAAAACAGTCTTTCTTTCTCTCATAGGTGCACTTGTGGTCACCTTCACACCTTACTTCTCAGTCTTGTGCTCGTGTTCTCTTTGTTATATATAAATTCCAATGAGCACATAAGATTTTAAGATTACATAATGCAAACTATTTGAAGCTTAACATAAATGCATCCTTTATTTTCACAGGGAGCCATCCAGGGTCCAGAAGAGTTTATAGAAGGAATGGCACTAGGACTTAAAGCACTAGTAGGAGGAGCTGTTGGTAAGTTTCAACATTATCATGATAGCATACCTAATAATAAGCAGTATAGGTGAGTATTTGTAAATTGCAGTGATATTTTACTTTGTTTTATTGTCCAATAGGTGGATTAGCTGGTGCTGCATCGAGAATCACTGGTGCTATGGCAAAAGGAGTAGCTGCAATAACTATGGATGAGGATTACCAGCAGAAAAGGAGAGAGGCCATGAATAAGCAGCCCACTGGTCTGAGAGAGGGTATCACTCGTGGTGGAAAAGGATTAGTTTCTGTAAGAAGAAAAAAAATCTGAAAAGCTTAATGAATTTTGTGCAGACAAGAGTAACGAATATAGAGGCTACTGTAGTCACCAGAGAGCTGTTGCTCTTTATTTTAATTCTGGTTTTGCAAGTATACGGTCACAATTGAGTGCTAGTTTTAAAGAAAAGTATGAGGGTAGAAAATAAGGTAGCTTCTAATTCTGTTAACTTGTAGTGAATTTTAGAATACTGCAACACAGGTGCTTTGAAAGTATTTGTAATGTCTTTTGTTTCTTTCGTTAGGGTTTTGTCAGTGGCATAACAGGAATAGTTACAAAACCAATAAGGGGTAAGTTTAGTTCTACTGATGCATTAACTGTTCATATGATGGTAAATACCTGATATTCAGTGAGACTTTATAAATCTGAGTTATTAAATATTTTATCAAGATTTTATATTTCTACTGACTTTTAGTTTAAACATTGTTTACATGAACATTGTGTGGAGAAGACTATGTAGTTGCATGAGATCAAATAAGATTTGTAATTAAATGGTAATTACGTTTGATACCATTGCAAGAAAAAAATCAGTGTTTTATTATAATTTGTAATGCACTTAATCCTTTTAGGAGCTCAGAAAGAAGGAGCAGCTGGTTTTTTCAAAGGTGTTGGAAAAGGCTTAGTGGGAGCAGTAGCTAGGCCTACTGGAGGAATCATAGACATGGCAAGCAGCACATTTCAGGGTATTAAAAAGTAAGTAAAGTAAACATGAAGAATAATGTAGCATGTAGCAGACAATAGTAGCAGCAGTAATACCTTGTGTCTTTGTATCATTTCTGTGTCAGTATTTCATGATCTCTCAACTTTGTCATTCAGATGAGCTAGAAAAATAATCTTATCCATATTATTTATTTAATAAATAGATGGCTTTTTTAAAAATATAGTTGGTAGTGCTAAAAAACCACATCAAATCTCAAGTATTAGAAATGAAAAAAAAATCAGAAATCAGAAATTAGAAAAATTAGTTATTAGAAAATTACTTAGAAAAGCATTGCCAAAAAAACTTGTTTAAAAGCCTCAGTGGTCAGACTTCTTTCAAGTGCTGATTTATAACTTCTATGCCAAATACACAGCAAAAAAAGGACTTCTCAGCTGCATTAAAAGTTATTTTTTATATTATTACTACTATATGAGAAGAATTCCAAGGCTAGCAGCCCATGCTGGGATCTGTCCTGGTTGTTCAGACTGAGAACTGTTAGGATGGCATACTGAATACCCTGATAGTCCCGCTTTCATTGCTGTAGATTGGAGGAGAAAATGTTTTCAGGGGGAATTCAGCAGCTTCATCTGCATACAGCTGTTTAATGGCCCTGTTCTTAGTGGGCTGGACCACTTTGGCTGCCATGTCTTGTTTTCACCTTTTAAGTTCTTTAGCAGAGAAATGCAAGAAAAATATCAGAGCAGAAGCTCTGCGTGGCACAGATGTCTTTAATTTTAAAGTTTTGAAGTATAATACTTAGACACTCGGTGTTACAGGTATGTGCTGCTCTGTGCCATCTGATTTTCCAATAATCCTCTTAAATAGATTTCTGAGTAAAATGTATTCCTGTTTCATAGAATATCTACTCCCTGTGTATTCATGTGCGGGAGTTCATATACAGACAACAACAGCTGTAGTGGAATTTAATTGGCATTTAAATTATTTAGAGCCTTTGCTAAGTGTTATAGCTGAGTAGAGATATCGACACATAACTCTGCTGTCAGAGTTACAGATTCATCAGAAGATGTGATAAGCCTGCGCCCACCTCGCTTCTTCGGTGAAGATGGAGTTATTCGACCTTACAGATTAAGAGATGGAACCGGAAGTCAGATGTTACAGGTGAAGAAAATGAAAGATAATTTGACACACATTTTAACTCATCAAATGTTGAAATAAATATTTAAGAGAATTTCCCATTTCTTGGATTCCCTACCACTCCTTACCTAGTAACTCAGTAGTCGAGAAGATTCATTTAAATTCTTAGGCTTATGATCACTTTGGTGATTCAGTTTCTGTGGTACAACTCTTGAGAAAGAAACCATAATTTATACCAGTATATCTGTAGAGGTTTGAAAGAAGAAAAAGGTTTACGTGTGTAATTAAAAATATTTGTATCTTTAAGTTTTATTTTTGATGAACAGTGGTGATGAACACACAAATACTTTTCCCAGTAATTTTATAATACCCATTTTAAATAGTGACTTTTTAATCTCAATTTTATGTAAAACACCGTTTTAAACACAGTTAAAATAACTCTATTTTTGTCATACTACAGCCATTGAAAGAACATAAAATTTTGAAGTAAAATAGTTTGTATGAGGGACATGCTGAGCAGCAGTTGTTCTTTAATTCAGCTGCCTTTTAAGCAAATTTGACTCTGAAATATCAGTGGAAATAATTTCTACGGTTACGCAGCTGACAAAATTTATTTTTTATTTGTTAGAATTTAAACTGTGTTTTATAAATATCTAAATGCGAGAAATTAAGTAATAATTAGTGATTGCATGAATGGAAACAGAATTTTTAGAACACACATTGAAGGATTCATAGTGTGCCAAAGAAATGTTGGAGAAGTCAGACAGAAATAATGTTTCTGAAGAAGTAGATAAGAATGAAGTAATGTTGGAGAGGGTTTTTAGACTATTTTGAGAATTGCCACAGCTGTTCGTTTCATGTTGAGTTCCGGTCTGGTTTTTCTGTTTCTTCTGCATTTCATTAGTGTTTTTTTTTTTTTCTGGTAGAAGAGGATTGTCCTATTTGGGGCATCTCGGCTCTGTTTGCCATAACATTCACTGGT